ACCACACTTTTTTCTCTTTTCGTGAAGTTTAATGGACATCATCACAATAAATGTTCGAATAACTGACGTACTAGTTATTACGTTATGAATTCATGATTTTAATTATTGTTAATTTTAATGATGTTGGTGGTTTGGATGTCTTCTCTTCTGGAGCATCTAAGTTCACTGTTCTTCACGTTATGTTGTTCTAGCTAGAAACTTCTCTTTTTAGATTATTTTCTTAGAATTACTATGAACAAGATGCATTTTATGTTTCTTTTTAACATTTAGTTTTATTAAAGATTGTGTATTTGTGAATTTCTTATTTCAATAATTCTTTATGCACAAAAATAAGTCTTCAGTTATATTCTATCGTAGTGATGTTAGTTAGGGTACACCTCTTCTTGTTTTGGGCTTCAATTTTCTGGAAGTTTCTTTTCTGAAAAAATAGAAATTATTTGTTGGTTTATAGAATCTTTTTCTTTGATACAAACGTCTATATAATTTTAACTTGGACTCCTTAAAATGAGTCCAAACCAATGCCCTACAAGTTAACTCCTCAACTAGTTTACCAAATATATGATTATGATTTGTTATATGGTCAATATAAATTTATATCGGTGAATTTGTTGAAATTTATGCTTTACGTAATTATTATATAGACCCTCATTAGAATTTCATATTGGAGTTAATACCCAGAAATGTGTTTGACAAATTTGCAACTACATATTTGTGGCCCAAGAGCATTATAAATTTTTCTCTTTTTATTTTGCAACTTCAGCCTTTTTCAGTTAAAATATTAAATTTATTATTATCAGCAAATGCCAATATTGAGGGCAAACTCATTAATGAGAGAGTCAAAGGTCGCAAATTGGCTTTTATACTTCCTGTACACCGTCGTAGTTTTGAAATTAAGGAAGAATGAGTTATCAATAGTTTCAAAAGCTATCTTATCAGTTTCCTTCCCTCGTGCTTCTAACTTCAAGAGTTATATTTTGATGGATGACACTGGATTTGATGGGTCTTTTATATATATAACATTGTAGGAGGTATTCCTGAACAAATTGGTAATCTTAAAAGTCTGAAAAGTCTATATTTAGACACCAATCAATTTTCTGGCCAAATACCATCAACTATCTTTAATATATCTGAGCTGCAAGAGATTGATTTAAGTTGGAATAATTTGTCGGGAGGCATTCCCTCAAATATATGCTATGGCCTTCCAAATTTACAAGCTTTACTTCTTCAAGTCAACAAATTATTTGGAGCTATGCCATCTGGTTGGACACAATGCAAGCAGCTCAAAACGTTAGACTTGGCATTCAACTGCTTCACAGGCATGTACTACCCACTATGCAAAATCTCTAAATTCAATTTTATCACATATATTTTGATAGCACTTTTTATGCATTGGACATTGGTGTTGATCAGAACCATAAAACAAATTGGACTTCCATAATTTTTATTTAAACAAAAATCCTTCCCAACAAATTAAGTTATATTTATAAAAACAAACAACTCAGGAGCCTATATCAAACATATTTTTGAAAGAAACATAAAGTAAAATAAAAATTGGGTATTATTTTTTATTAAATATAAATTCTGCTTTTTTGTTAGAAAGGCTTTTATCAGGCTTCACAATCTAGCAGCCTGTTTTCTTGTTCGACCCTCCCTTTTGTATGTATGTATGTATACACAAACAGACACACACATAAAATTAAGACCCTATTGGATCAATTTCAACATATCAACGTTGTGCTTCAAATATTGGCATTTATATTCATTAATGTTTCTAAAAGTGCAATCAAACCCTAATATGCCTTCAGATCCCAAAACTATAGTTTGGGTAGTTGACTATGGTTCTCATAATGTGAGGGAACATGTTAGCAATTTGGTTATTCTTTCTTCCTTCTTGCACCTGGGTCGTTCGTTTGGAGTTTGAAAAGTATCTCAATTGTAGGCATGTAATGACAATTTGATAAATTATTTCTAATTGCTAATATTTTCTTTATTTTGTGAAAACAATTATTATAAGAATATTTTAATTTTTTTTGTCTTTACACAAATTTCTTATATTTTAAGAGAGTGGATTGGGAAAAAAAAAGTTTCAAGTGAGCCTATATTCTTTTTCTTGGGCCGTTTGTTTAATATTAAAAGATAAATAATTTTTAGATAGTTTAGATATTTATAAAAATAGATTTATCTTCAAAAGATTTTATAAAAATCATTTATTATTTTATGTTTGGTTACAATAATAAAAAATAGTAGTTATTTAGTTATTTTTAGATTTTATAATGTCTTTCTGGATCCCTATTTATGACAAATAATTTATGGTTTGTTATTTTAAAATTTACAATATCTTCATATATCTCAACATTTTTAGGTCATTTTCTCTAAGCTACTGTATCATATTATTTTAAGAAGCGATACAACGAAATTCTTCAAAATAATTAGAAATATAATTTTTTTTTTGGTTTCAGATTGTAATTATTTTTAAAATTTTAAAAAACATGATAAAATTTTACAAAATAGATTTTTGTCAAAAAAACAAGTGACTTTTTATGAAAAAGAGCATAAGAGCCCATTTGCTTCAGCTTATTTTATGAAAAATCATTTATTATCTGCAAAAAAAATTCTTTTTTATGATTTTTTTGTGATATTTGTTTAAAATTTTGAAAATTATTAGAATGAAAAAGCATATTTATTATTATTTTAAAAATCTACTTTAAGTAGCTTCTAAAAATAATATGATATTGTAGATGAAAGAGAATGCTTTAAAAATGCTAGATATATTAAGATATCCTAAAATTTTACAAAAAAATTAAATAATAGAAAGTCAAAGAAAAAATCATAAAATTTAAAAATAACTAACTAATAATCACTTTTTTATTGTTGTAACCAAACATAAAATAATTTTTTCTTTTTATACAATCTCTATAAAATAAATTTCTTATACAATATCTAAACTATCTAAAAATCACTTATTTTGAATCTTAAACATATGGGCCCTAAATAAATTAGGCTTTAATGTCATTTTGTTAGGAGAACAACTCCATATCCTGAAAATAAAATAAATTAAATGAAATAATAACTAAGTGATAGGACTCTCATCACTTAAACAAATAGTTAGAGGTTTGACTCTCAACTCTTGTGTATGTAGCAACTTACTTACAAGAGGTCTACCATTTATCCTTATTATCCTGGGAGAGATAATATTTGCCATCAGCGGGGGCTCTTTATGTTATAAAAATTAAGAAAGAAATAAAGAGAGGAGAGTGGAGGAGAGAGACTTTTTTTTTCATTTTTATGTAAATGAAATTAATTTTCTAACTAACCAAATAATTATATTATATTCATAAAAAATAAAAAACAAATAAATAACCTTTAAGAAACTTGTTTTAAGAAAAATAGCAAATTAAATAAGCAAAAGATTAATACCCCACGAGTTACTACCCACTTTAAATGATTTTTATATGCATCATTTTAAATAAATATATTGAATTTTTCATGTTTATTTTCATTTTCCATTTGTGTTCTTTTACTATATTGTTGGAGATATTCCTAAAAAAATCTGCGGAGATCATGGAAATTTTAAAATTAGGATCTTGGATACTAAAAATTATGCTGCCATATAGTATGTTATTTCATGCTACGATCTCTCCCACTCTCACCTCTGCATTAAACACTTGATTAGTTTAGCTGACAACTAGGTCTTGTTGTCACACAATGTACATCATCATCATCGAGCATTACTTTTGATACCATATGTCATGCCGTAACAGAATATTGGGACGTTGGACTTGGGCTGAGACATAAGCCCAATGAGCATCATTTTTCTGATAATTATTTCTTTCTTCTAGAATCATTCCATTAGTTAAAAATGATAAAATTGGAATCTTTGGATTTCTAACAAGGTGAACAATGTAATAACATTTTTAAAGTGTGGCAAAATTTGGAAATATTTTATATGAGAATATGAGGAAGTATGTTATTATTGTTGCGCTAAAGGCTATCACTATAGATTTAGATTTGCGAGTAAAAAGTTTTTTCAAATAATATCTTTTGCATTGGATTAATTCTTTAACTGTTGTTGATAACTAGTGGTAGTTAGAACATGTTATAGTAGCTGTTTACTCTAGAAAGCCAGCTTTACCGGGGGGAGATATCAGAAAGAGCAATAGTGCAATAATGATGTTGAATGCATTATCAATTAACGTTGGAGTGTGCTTCAATGGAATTAGACAATTTGAATTTTAACTAATGTGTCCCTTATGTGTCAATCTTCTTTCAGGCCATATACCCAAAAGCATCACAAACTTGACCATGCTTCAATGGTTAAATATGAATTACAATAATTTGGAAGGTATTCATCCAACAAATCATAGCATTATACTTTTATGTTTATTTTATCTGTTTCTAAATTACAAGAAATATTCCTAATAAAATTGGTGATCTTACAAACTTAAACTTTGAAGATATATTTAATAGTTTAATAAATGATATATAATTAATTTTTTTAGTTTCTAATTTGTTTGTTAATACTAAAAATATATTTCATAAGAGATTGTGATAGTTGAAATTGAAAATTTAAAATTATTAAATATAATAAGTTTTCTCAATTGTAACCATTAAATGGTATGCAATGGATGCACCTTTAAGACATCAAAAACTTGAGAGTATGATTGTATTTTTATATTTAGATTCAAATGGTCAACTTTTTCAATGATATGAATAAATAAAAATTCTTTATCTTTTTTTAACAGAATTATTTTTAATAAATTGAATTATATATATAAAATTAATTTAAAGGATCTATGAAAAAAAATAAATGCCCATCTTGTTATAATATACATGAACAGAAAGGAAAAATCAAGATGTAAAACATGATTAACCTGGCATAAAAAGGAGTATCAACAATCATACATCTCATTAGTTATATATTTGCCTTATTCACTACTTTTAGTATTCACTTTAGATAACTTCAGTAAGACTAATCTTTTTTTAATATAGGTTTAATACCTATGGAAGTAGGCAATCTTCATAAGCTTGAGGAATTAGACTTGTCACATAACAAGTTGAACGGTTCTATTCCATTGAACATTTTTAACATTTCAACTTTGAAATTCTTAGATCTTGAAAGCAATTTTATATCCGGCAATCTTCCATCAAATTTTGAGAATCTCACTAGTTTCTTCAAGCTATCCTTGGGAGAAACATCTTGATAGGATCAATTCCAAAAGCAATTGGTGGCTTCTTAGATCTTCAATATTTGAATCTTGAAGGCAATGAGCTACATGGCCTAATCATTGATGAGATTTGTGAAATCACAAAGCTTGCCTACTTATGTTTAAGTAGAAACAAGTTTTCTGGAGGAATGCCCCCTTGTTTAGCAAACAATACCTCTTTGCGAGACCTTTACTTGGACTCTAATAAATTAATTTTAAAATACCCCCTTCCTTTTGGAATTTGAAGGATATATTGAGGGTAAACTTATCTTCCAATATTTTAGTTGGAAATGTATCATTAAGGATTGGAAACTTAAATGCTCTTGTATTATTGGATTTGTCAAGAAATCATATTTCAGGCTTTATTCCAACTACTCTAGGTGGCCTGAATAATTTGCAAGATCTATCCCTAGCACATAACAATTTGCAAGGAAATATTCCTGAATCATTCGGAAATATGTTGAGCTTAGTAAAATTGAACCTTTCTGAGAATAATTTGTCTGGGAAGATTCCTAAATCTCTTGAGTTACTTATTGTTCTTAAGTATGTCAATCTCTCTTATAACAAACTCCAAGGAGAGATTTCAAGTGGAGGAGTTTTTAAAAATTTGACTCCTAAATCTTTTATGATGAATCAAGCTCTTTGTGGCAAGCCACAATTTGAAGTGCCTCCTTGCAAAAGAGAAACAAGAAAAAGATCAATGACAATATTGCTTTTATTAAAATGCATATTACCCATAGTTGTGTCAATAATTTTGATTGTCTCAGGCATTATCCTTTTAAGGCATAAACGACAACAAAATTCAAGGGGTCTAGTTAAAAGGGATTTATCAATTTTAGGAGTGCCCAAAAGGATTTCTTATTTTGAAATCCAAGAAGCAACCAATGGATTTGATGAGAGTAACATACTTGGAAGGGGTAGTTATGGTTCTGTGTTTAAAGGAAAACTTTCTAGTGCATTGATCGTTGCAGTTAAGATCTTTAAATTTGATTCACATGTAATGTTAAGGAGCTTTGAAAAAGAATGTGACATATTGTGTAATGCACACCATCACAATTTGGTGAAGGTTATAAGCTGTTGTTCCAATGTTGATTTTAAATCTCTGGTGACGGAATTCATGCCCAATGGGAGCCTTAAAAAATGGTTATATTCTCACAACTATTTTTTAGGTTTTCTTCAAAGGTTGAACATAATGATAAATGTAGCAACTGCTTTGGAATATCTCCATCATGACTTGTTAACACCAATTGTTCATTGTGATTTGAAGCCGAGCAACATTTTATTGGATGATGAACTGGTTGCTCATGTTAGTGACTTTGGAATTTCTGAACTTTTAGATAAAGAGGAATCTAAGACAAACACAGAGACAATACCTACTATTGATTATGTGGCACCTGGTAATTATTCTAAACATAATGTCTCAATTTTTTCTTCTTCTTTTGCATTCTAACAACTTATATCTTTAACATATTATATTCATAAAAGCTTATTACATATATTGTTACTAATTATTTAGATTAGCAATATTATATTAAATTAGTGCATGGCAAATTAATTAATATTTATGATAAATAATACATGACTTCTTAATAAACATATTAATGTTATTGATTTGATTCAATTATTAAATATGTAATTTAATTGATAAATTACAATTTATCAAAGTTATCTATGCCTAAAACTTGGTCCCTTAATTCTTCTATATAGAGAAATGTTCTAGGATATTTCCTTCTAATTTGTTCATGAGATAGGCTCTTCTATTCAAATAGAAAATGAAAGAGCTATTATAGGCTCTTCTATTCAAATAGAAAATGAAAGAGCTATTTTATGAATTTAGAAATCGTTGAATGTCGTTTCATTTGATCATTTTATATGTATATAAAATTATTTAACTAATTAACATTAGAACCTTAAGATGAATGTATATTTTGAAATGTGTGTGCATGGGGTGTGCATGCATGTATTCTTGGATATGGGGACTAGGGGTGGTGTGTCTTTGTTTCTTCTACATAAAAATTCTTTGGCTTATGATCATAAAATTTTCCTATCAATCTTGAGGGTTAATAAAAATATATGTGTAAAAAATTCAAACACTACTATTAGGCAGCACAACATAACTTATTTCTCAATTCTTTGTTATCACATCTACTCTAAATGACTAAATGAATAGTCTTGTTCAGTTATTAGTTTTATTTTATTACTTGAATTCAATTATATGCAGAGTATGGATCTTTTGGAGTTGTTTCAACAAAAGTAGATGTGTATAGTTGTGGAATTATGCTATTAGAGGTGTTTACAAGAAAAAGGCCCACGGAAGATATGTTTGTTGAAGGATTGAACTTGAAGAGCTGGGTAAGTGAGTCAATGCCACATGCAATAATTCAAGTCATGGATTCCAATTTATTAGAAGGAGATCAACATCATATAAAAAATATATTGACATCTACAACTTTTGTTCTTGAATTGGCCTTGAATTGTTGCACCAATCTTCCAGAAGCATGTGGCAATATGATTGATGTTGTAGTATCATTAAACAAGATGAAGGGCATGTTTTTGCGTAGACAAGCAGCATAATGTCTAAATTAGCATTAAGTTTCTTATAATTTGTGTGGTTAATTGTTGTCCATTTTTTTGATTATCTACTTTTAGAATATGTTGGACCCATTATTTGTTATATATATGTGTTCTTATTTTTACCCAAATATAAAAGTATAAAGCACCTAGTTGCTTTACTTCTTTCCTCTTTCCGTAAACATTCTATACAGTTTCTCAAATCTCTTCTTCCCTTAACTATTTTCTTCCTTAAAAAAAAAAAAAGCACGGGATATATAATAGCGTACAACTTTTATCACGAATTGGAGAGTGATCATTTAAACATTATATAATGCCAATGAAACTCTGTTTCCTTGTACACTTTTGCAATAGTATATTGTAAGAAACTTGAATCCAAAACCATCTGGACTATGCTATATATTCTTAGTTATTAAACAAAAAACTTCAAATTGCCATAATCTTTTATTCATCACATTACGTAGTGTCCAATAGTATATGTACTCTATCATGATCACCCTTCTCAATCAATAAAATTAACATAGAACGCAGGGGAAGAACAGGGAAAATATCATTATATTAGCCTCCTCAAAGATAATGAAATTAACAGCCATAATTATTCAGTCTCATAGCACATTACAACTACAAATAAATCAACAAGCATAATAGTAAATTTCACAAAATTCTTTGATCCCTTTCTCACTACCTTTTTTCTGCATTGTATTCTCATTCCCATGGCCTAAGTGATTTCCATCCATTCAAGCCCATTTGGTATAGTTTTCGGCCCATGATATCCATTAGCCCCATTCATGGCATACTTTTGAGTATATAGGTGGATTCATGCTAAGTTAAAAAAATATGAATAAAATAAAAAGGGAACAGTGAAAAATGTCAATAATTATCAATGATCCTTTGTTTTTCCTACCAAGCAAAGTAAACATAATTTGTGAAGACGCAGCATCATGAAGAAACATGATATAGAAGTTTTATACATGTTTTTGACCATCCTCCCCTTTGCTGTTGTAAGGTGATGAATGATGAAAGGGTGAATTGATTTGTTTGGGATGTGGCTGTGTTCTCTTGTGTTTACTCTTGATTGTATTGTTCCTGTAGTTTAATTATATATAGTTATATCCTTGTTTATTAAAAAAGAAAAAAAAAGTTTCATACATGTGAAGTTGTTTCACTCCATTTCTCACAGCAAAAGCAAACAAGGGTCATACAGACGGAGATAAATAAAAACAAATAAAAGTTACAATATTGTCATGTGAAGTAGAAACCCATAATAGTGGCTAGAGCACCGTTATCATCCGTCCTTGAGCACCACAAGATCAATTCTTGAGATTGAGATAGTGTTTGGGAGTTTTTTTGGGGAAGCTCTTGTGAAGTGATATAAAAGGAATACATGAAAAAATCCCTCCGTATCTCTCAAGCACCCAGTTTTGAACGGCACAAAAAATCAAAATTCAATTAGCTATATGTGTGTATATATATATATATATATGTGGACATGCACGAAGAAAATGACGTTGATTAAAAAAGATAATGACGCGTAGTTACTAAAGTCAGGGAAAAATGGAGTGAATTATTGTTTGGTAATGAAGCGTCAAGAAGCAAGCTAGTTCATTTTTTCTTTTATTTTTTAATTAGGAAAATCGATCCAGGGCTAGTTTGTTCCAGCTGTTTTTTCATAAAAAGATAACAAATCTTTTAGAAAAAATCATTTTTTTATTTTTATGATACTGTTTAAGCTTTTAAAAATAATATAGTCTAAAAAATAGATTTCTAATTATTTTTTTACAAATGACACTGAATAGCTTTTGAACATAATTTGATGGGTAGATGAGAGAAAATGCCATAAAAATGCAGAGATATAAAAATTTAAAATAATTAAATATCAAATTATTTACATAAGACATAAATCCATAAGGATACCTTAAAATCTAAAAATAACTAACTAATAATTATTTTTTATTACTGTAACTAAACATAAAACAATTTTTTTTGTAAAATCTCTATAAAATAAGGGCCCATTTGTTTTAGCTTATTTCATGAAAATCACTTATTTTTTGAAAAAATTATATTTTGTGAATTTTTATAATGTTTGTTTCAACTTTTGAAAACAATCAGAATCTAAAAAAAATATTTCTGATTATTTTTAAAAGCTACTTTGAGTAACTTCTAAAAATAATCTAATGTCGTAGATGAGAAAGACTATTTTAGAGAGGTACGATACATGAACACATCATAAAATTTTAAATAATATAGTAATAAATTATTTTTATGAAATAAAAATCAAGGAATATATAATAAAATTTAAAAATAACTAACTAATAATCACTTTTTATTAGTGTAACCAAATATAAAATAATTTCTTCTTTTTTATAAAATCTCTACAAAATAAATTTCTTTTTATAAAACCTCTAAATTATCTAAAAATAAATTATTTTTAATATTAAACAAATGGGTCCTATATCTCCTTTTTGTAAAATCTCCAAATTATATAAAAATAACTTATTTTTTAATCTCAAACAAATGGGCTCTAATTACTTGTTTAAATGTTAGCAACACACTATGCTGCACAGATAAAGTATGTGAATAAGATACGATATGTATATGATATGTTTTTACTTTTATTTTTTAAAAAAATATAGGATTTCAATATGTATCTGATACGTACATATATATGTATAAAAAATACATAAAAAGCATTAAAAACATAGTATCAATTAAGAAAGTATCCAAACTAGTATACTTATATAGTCCTTTATAGTATGCAAAATAAAATATTATTATTAATTGTTCTTTTATTATATGTTTACCTAATTGCCTACAACCTAGTCTCTACTAATTGTTCTCTAAGTAGGTTTTATTTGCCAAATGATTACATTCCTACTATAGTTAACAAAAATATAATTTTTATCTTTTTATTGTATATTTCTAAAAGTTATTTAATAGGAAAATCAAATATTTGAAATTAAAACAAATCAAAAAATATATTAGGAATAAAACGGATTAATATCATAATATCTAACAAAATTTAATTTCTTAAAATTATCATTAAAGCATTGGTTTTGAAGCATCGACTTGCAATATAGAAATATTGGAGATATATCAAAATTTAAATCTTATTGCAATTAAAAAGTAATATTTTGACAAATTATAAACTTACAAATTATACTCCCTTCTGCCATTAATATAATAATAAAAATTTTAAAACCATTTTTTGATCTTTAATATAAGATGAAGTTAGAGTAATTAATTTTTTTCCAAATTTACCCATGGTTTATTTATTGTTACCTGAATTCCTAAACAACAATTTATTGTAGTTATTAATTGAAAAGAAGGATAAAATTGGAATAACAACTAAATATTAAAAATTTACGAATTATTAATATATGATTATTTTTTAGAAAATGAAAATAAAATCCTTCTATAATGTGTAAATGACAAGTTAGTCCCTTAAAATGCCATAATTTTCCTGAAGTCCTTAAGGACTTTTTGTCATTAATAAATTTATATAAATTGTCAAATAGCCCTTTTTAAAAAAATGATTCATAACTTTTCTTCTTATATTCATAACGATGCAACAACAAATAAGAAATTTAGTATACAAAGTTGTGATTTGCTGCTGTATTATTGCGAATATAAGAAGAAAAGTTATAAATTATTTATTTTTAATGAGGGTAATTTGGTAATTTATATAAATTTACTAATGACAGAAAAGTTCCTTGGGACTTCAGAAGAATTATGGCATTTTAAGAGATCAAATTATCATTTATATATTTTAGAGGAATTTTATATTCATTTTTCCATTATTTTTTAAGTTTTCTGTGATTTCAGGATTGAAAATTATTTTTGTATTTAATTCACCTAGATTATATGTGAACTTGAGTATCTCTGCAAGAATTCCCCTACAAAAGATATCTATACTAATTTTCATGTAGGCTTTAGCTTATTTTATAAAACAACTCACTTATTTTCTGAAAAAAAAATATTTTGTGAGGTTTTATGTTATTTGTTGAAACTTTTGAAAATAATCAGAATCTGAAAAAGTAAAATTCTAATTATTTTAAAAAGATACTTTGAGTAGCTTCTAAAAATATTATGTGATATATGAGGGATAATGTTTTAAAAAGGTGGGATATGAGAAGATTTTCTAAAATTTTAAAATAAGTAAATAATAAATTATTTTTATAAAATAAAAATTAAAGAAGATATCATAAAATTTAAAAATAACTAAGTACTAATCATGTTTTTTATTATTGTAATCAAACATAAAATAATGTTTTTTTATAAAATCTCTACCAAGCAAATCTCGTTTTATAAACTCTCTAAACTATTTAAAAATTACTTATTTTTTAATCTTAAATAAATGAGCCCTAAAGCCATGATAGTATTAATGTGGATCCAAGCAAAGTTTCTTTACCCTTTTCATGTGTGTGTGAGAGCCTCGACCCCAAAGGATAAACACCAAGTGATCTTTCTTTCATCTCAAAAAGTTCTAATTCAAAAGGCATCACATATACAAAAATATAAATAATATAACTTATTAACTTAATTAATTATAAAAACACATAATAACATGGTTAATGAACTTGCAAAGCAATGGCAGATTTGCAAGTATTCTTTTCAATTTTTAATATAAGGCAAATTTTAAAAGTTTGTTTTGGTCTTTAATAGTACTGTGTGCCAGACAATGAAGAAAAATCTCTTGTCATGGTGAGGCAACAAGAGTCTATCCAAAATGACACAATCTATTCAAACATTGATTGTCAATTTGTCAGTTTCAAAATAATTAGATAAATTGAAATATATTCTCTTAAATTGCTTAGATTTTGTTATTATAATATCAATTGTTTATTTTGTTGACAAATGAAAACTATAGACTAGGTGATTTTAATTTGTTTGATTTTATTCTATTTTTTGTTTTTAAAAATAATTCTTAGAACCAATTGAAAAATTATTTTCAAAAAATAAAAAGGAAAATCTCTTTTATTATGTTACTTTGAAAACAATTTTAG